GTCCTCCTTTTCTTCTTTTATTTACTTACGATTCTACCGTAGCTATATTTATATATATCTTTTGATTTGACGTTAAGTATATGTCGGAGCTCTTCCCCTCCATACTATATACGCGTATTTATATAACGCGTCGACGCGTCGACGCGCCGCGATACGTATAAGCTCGATTTTTTTTAGTTTTGTTGCATATCGCATTTTTTTTTTATACGGCTTTATCAGCCTTAATAATAGCTCAATTTAAAAAACAAAAAAGTGGCCCGTGCACTTCTATATAAATGACGCGTTATTATAAAAAAATAAAATAAAGTGGTCCGTGCACGCGTATTTATATAACGTATTGACGCGTCGATGCGCCGCGATACGTATTACGGAAAAAAATTCTAGCGCCGGAATTACTTTAATCCCCTTTCTTTCTTTAATTTTTCCGGAAAAAGTTAAATAGATTAATATAGAATAAAAGTCTTGGCACGCTTAGAAATCCTGCCAGACCGGTATAGAATAGTCTTACGTGATTGGATGACTAATTACTATTACTACTGGAATTTATCTTAGGTCACCGTAGGTAATAATAAAGTGAACGATAAAAAACTTTAAAGACTTTCGACGAAAAGCTTTTTTTTTCGATTAATAATTGATAAACTTTCGATTAAAACGGATATTTTCACGGCTTATTACGATAATAGTAATTATAAAAGCCGTAAATCAATTTATTATCGTATTTTTTAACGCTACTTTTAAAATAAATATTATATAAACGTTAAACGATTCGTTAAAACTTATAAAAAATATTAATATCGAGTAGCTAATAAGGTCGAAGAACCGCTGTACTTTACCCGATTTCATAGCTTGATAAAACGCTAAGCTATTAATATTACTTATTTACTTGCACGCAATAATAAAAACTATTTAATTATTATTAAAAATAATATAAATAAATAAGTCGAAGCGAAAGCGATTTAAACCCGAGATTCGTTTTTAATAATTAAGTTTATTTAAAAAGATATTATTTACCGTTATAAGATTTTCTTTTAATTAATAATCGATAAAAGTTCGGAGTATAAAAAAAAGATAATCGACTTGCTTAATAATTAAAGAATTAATCGAGTCGTAGTCTTAGCGTATTACTTTCGAGCAAATAGAATAATAAAACGCGGTTACGGATTGATTAAAAACGCGTTAAATAAGCTTAAAAGTATCGATTAGATTGCGCAATTGCTAAGCGTTTTATTCGCCGATCGCATTTGGATATATACTTTTATTATCTTAATTATTCAAGACGAAATTTTCAACTTGCTCACAACGACTTGATTTTTATTGTATTCGATTTTTAAGATACGGTTTTTTCAAGAATCCGCTAGAACTAAATTAATAGCTCGTTACGCTCGCCGCATAGCTCGAGAAATAGTTCTTGTCACTTTATCTCGGTCTTTTGCGGATAATAATAATATTAATAACGCTGATTATACACGGCTTTAAAACGCTGTATCGCTATTTAACTTTACTTAACATTTTAAAAAGAGAAGAAAGAACGCTGCTATTAATTTGCAGCTTTTTCTTTTCGTATTAAAACGAAGAGCATCGACTATTAATACGGCGACGAAAGCTATCGAAAGCTATTTCGACGATATCGACCGCGCGGCTATTATTAAACGACGAGTTTAATAATAATACGCTTCCGCTTCGGATTAAATAATAAACGATCAATTCGATTCCGAATCTCGATATTATACGTAAGAGTTCTTTAAAAGTCTTTTTACGTTTATGCGTACTTATTTACACGCAATTATTAAAGCAGCTATTTTTCTTTTTTTTTTTACCGCTTTTTATAATAGCGAGTAAACGGCTTTTTTTAAATCTATTTTATAAGCGGATTCCGCGAAGCTTTCGAAAACTTTAAAAAACTTAAAAGCTGCCGCTTAATCGGCAATCGTTAAGCTGTCTCGATCCTTTTTCGTTATAAGAATAAAGCTTGCAAAGACTCGCAAACTTACGAGCTTTTAAGCTATTCGTAAGTCTTTTAGCGAATAACTTAAAATACGTTAAGATAAGCGAGTTTTAATTTAAGTACTTTCCGCCGCACTTTTAACTCGACTCGATAGCTACGCCGCTTGCAAAGCTATTGCCGATAAACTAAACGGCGTCGATATAATTATTATCTTTCGTCTTAAAGCTACTCGCATTAATTAAGTACTTACTTCGATCAACTTTAAAGCGAAAGACCTTTTTATTATAGATAAAGCTAAAAAAGTGTATTAAAAGGTTTTTAAAACTACGAGAGCGACTATTTCGATTAAATAATATACGTACGCTATTTAAAAGGTCTTTGTTAAAATCAAAAGTTTTTTCGGCGAGATTTTTAAAATAACGGAGCATATCGACGAAAAGATCTTAGCTTAAGCCGAAAGAGCTTTAATAAGCGTTCGTATTTTTTAGCACGGAGCTAACTCGGCGATCGGCTTAACTTATTAAATAATCTTTTTCTTAAAAGAAGTTCGCAGCTTTAAATTGTTCGGTTATAATAATTATTTTCGATTGATCGATAAAAAGCAACTTATTAAAAAGCACGACTTTAGCTATTTCGGCTAATATAATTCGGTTAAGTGCATTCGATACGTACGTTGCTTTTATTACTACGAACGAAAAGACTAATACGATAGGCTCGACGGCAAAGATTATACGGCGCTTTTTCGTTATACGAATTACTACGGCTCGTACGAAGCTAATTATAAGAATTGCTTTGCGGCTTTTAAACGAGTTAACAGCAAAGTAATCATTTTTATTAAAAAAGAGTTAAGCGCCATTCGACGATTAAAAGCTTAAGCTTACGTTATTACTATTGCTTTTATAACGAAAAAAAACCAATCGATTTCGGCTTTTTAATTAAAGACTTTTATTATCGATATTAACGCGGCTCTCTTTCGAAAAAAACGCGCTTTTGCGGTGCAAAAGCACGAGCAAGCGACTTTTTTTTAAACCGTCTTTTTATAATCTTTTTCTTAATCTTTTACGCAAGCTACGAGACTTTTACGTAATATAATTACGCGTAAAAACCTTAACGAAAAGACTTTAATAAATAGCGCTTTCTTTGCTATAAACGAAAAAAAAGATACGCTAATAACGATATCGGATTATTACGTAGATAATATTATTAGCTTATCTTTTTCGTTTGTAAAAAGCTCGAGCATTGCTGCTAGCTAAGATGCTTAAAACAACTTTATATATTAAATACGCCGATACGATACCGCGGCACTCGCCGCAATCGATAGCCTTTTAAAGAAATTTAAGTTTATTAAGCGAACGTAAGCAAAAAGCAGTTATACTATATTGCTTTACTTTATCTTTGCTATTCGGCAAATATTAACGTTATCTATGTTTAAAAGCCGTATACATACTCGAGTATTAAAACTTAAAACTATTCGTCTTACGATTGCTATGCTTTGATAAAATCGTAAGATAATTAAGACGATGCTTAATACTTCGTTAAGCGATTATAAATAATAATTTACGTGCGCAAAAGCGTAAGTCTTCGCACTTAATAACGCCGTTTTATTCGTAATAAAGATCTTTTATAAGTCGATATAAACGGCTTCGCTATTTTAAACGTCTATTAGCAACTTTTAATAAACTCGATTATAAATTACATTACTTACTTCTTTTTTTTTTTAAGTGTTTAATTAAAAAAGACTTTAACGTATAGCACGATATATTCGAATTAAAGATTAAGCTTAAAAGCCGAAAAAAAGACTTTGCGGCTTGGTTTAATACTAATAAGATAAATTATATTAGACTTTCGGACGATCTTACTTATAAAGCTAGTTACGTTTTAAACTTAACTTTTTTAAATATCTCGTTTACTTAAACGACAATTCGCTTCGATCTTTATTTAAGCTTAAACTACGAGACTTAAATCACGATTATCTTCAATCGAAAAGTCGTTCTTTTAAAGCGCTTTTAATACCGAGTACCGGACTAAGACCTCGAGAAATTCGCTTCGCTTATAGCGCTAAGCGTAAACTAATTCTTCGATTTATAAACGATATATTCTATCGAAAAACTCGATTAGCTTGCGATCGGCTTAGCTATTGCTTTTAACTTTGCTTTAAAAGTTACGAGATAGCTTGTTCGAGAAAAGCTGACGGCTATTTTATAATAAACGGCAAACTATTAAATAGCGTATAAAAAACACTTAATAGCGCGCTTTATAATATACGACGGAGAACCGACTTAAAAAACGCGAGACTAGCTCGTTATAATTAAAAAAGCTAAAAAGGCTTATTAAACTTACGTAATCGACGGAGTGAAATCGGATTAAAACTTATACAAAGTTATAAGCTAACACAAGCTTATTTCGAACTTAAAATCGCTCTTTTTAATAATCAACGACGAAGCTATTAAAGATATTAAAAAAAAGGCGGACGCGCTACGAAAAAGCTGTGACGAACTGATGAATTCTGACCTTAGAATACAAAGTGAGGAGAGGAAAACAGGAAGCTCAGGAGAGCTCAGGAAGGTCTATATACAAGGCCACAGGCGCTAGGCCTGAATAGGTGATCAGCTGATGCAGGTAACGAGGCAGGCTGTCACACTACCCCCTTAGAGAGCGGTCCCAGCTCTCTCAAAAGTATCTGACAGAGGAAGGGAAAAAAAAATTCAGTCGTGAACCATGGTTCACGGGTGGAATTGCTGAAAAAAAAAAACAAAAAATACGCCGAGGCTACCGATCGCGGTAATCGTCAAGGTCAGCGTCGTAGCCTCCAAAAGCGTTCTATTCCGCTAAAATTTCCTCCTTTTCATCCGAGTCAAACCCCCTTAAACCTTTGTTCTTTCGAAAAGAACTCAAAGCTTAGCTAAAAGGAAGGAGCACCCAGCAATCCAAATTGATTGCACTACAACGGGTAGATTAATAAGCTTGCTGATCGAAAGAGCTGTGAAGAGCATGCTAGAAGGTGGGATTTCGATCTTCCAAAAAGCTAAGTCTTTGTTTGATTGCCGAAAGAGTTCTATAGCGCCGAAGGAACCGAAAGCGTATTGCAAGTGCTCAAGCTGCAAATAACGTGCTGCAAATACTTGAGTACCGAAAGGTCGGTTAAGTCGCTAGAAGAGAAAGGGGCCCGTGGCCGTGCGAGAGCGGTTTTGAAGAACCGAAAGGGGCCGAAAGGGGCCGAAGGAGCCGAAGGTCGAGAAAATCCGTAGGACGGGCCGAGAGAAAAACCAAAGGAACGGAAGAACCGAAGAGCCGAAAAGCCGAAAAACCGAAGGCCGGAAGGAAGGAAAAAGGAACCCGTAAAAAACGAACCGAAAAGCTAAGAAAGCCGAGAGAGCCGGAAAAGCGTTCAGGCTGCTGAATAACGTGCGCGTACTCGGTATACGTTAAGGAGCGTTAATTTGGCTGTTTGAGCGAGTCCGTATAGTTGAATGAAGACCGGGAGCCGTATCGGAGTACCGTAAACGTAATTGAGTTGAGTAGTGGGTCCGCCAAGAGCTTTACCGCCGATAAGGAGCTGGGCCGTAAGAAAGGGGAGCTTAGCATCCTATCGCTGAACCGTACCGTAAGCGAAAGCTAGCTGGTCCGAGAATACCGATATTGTAATTGAATTCCGAACTTCCGAAGTTCCGAAGTCTTGAGCTGAAGCGTTAAATAAAGACCGTATTATTGAACTTATCGGGATCCGAAAAGAGAACGCATTGCGCTGGCGAAGGGCCGTCGTCTTCGTGGGAGGACATAGTGGTGGAATGAGGAGGGAGGGGGG